GCAATGGAGAGAATATCCTGAAGGCAAGTTTAGGAGTGGTTATGTGGTTCCTTGCAGACTTTATAATTTTTTTCCTCATGAACTCTGTTATTTTTTCTCTTTCCCCTCCAGTTCAGAGGGAGGACTCCTATCAGCACAGCTTCTGTGTGTTCCAGGGAGAGGGATATTGGGTTTCACATTTCTCAGGGCTTCAATAATTGCTGTCAGCACTATTCATTTAATGGAATAAGGTCTAGGAAGCTTCATAGAGGAATCCTTTAAAGAGTGTTTCTCTCTAAAGATTCCATCCTAGGTATCTGAGGAAGGGACAACTAAAAAAAAAGTTACTGAATAGCATTAAGTGTTTTTCCAGCTAATGCCAGGAGGCAAGGAACAGAGCTGACAGTGAAACCAGAAAGGCCTTCATAAACAGGAAAAGTCTAATTTTCAAGGAAAAAAAATTTATCTCAAAACCTATAAACAGATACAAAAATATTTCTAGCCTTGCTATGCTTCTATGAATTCAATTAACTTTAAAAAAACCCACAAAAACAACAACAAAAGCAACAACAACAACAAATACCAAACAAAACAACACCAAGATTTAGCTAATTGATCTTCCTTTAAATTTAAAGATATTTTATTCTAACAAAGGGAGGTGAAGTTCCTAGTAACAAGGAAAGTAATGCTGAAAAAAAGACAGGAGGAAATTAACTATTCAGTCCATGCTGGAAAGCTATCTGTGGAAGTCAGGGAGTACGAAGCTAATGTTGCATCCTGGATAAGAGGGTAAGTCTTCATAGATAAGACTCTTTGTTCCTGGTTTAGAACAGAGTTCAGCTTTTAGGTCCATATATAGGTTTGCAGAGTTGGTTTCTGATAAGTTAAGGAATAACAAGAAGTTTGTTTGACTACAAAAAGTAATGTTTAATTGCAGTCATTTGCCAGATTGCCAGGTGATCCCGTAAGCTGTCCTGAGGTCCTGCAGGGCGCAAGAGATGTGCTTTAGAAAGCAGACCATAAAATGTCTGTGAAATAATAACCAAATGGACTGCTGAAGTTGCTGTGGCAGACAGTACAGCCTGTGATAGTTCTAGAAAATCCTCAAGTTTCATGAGCAGAAACTTTGTCCCAGAGCTTTAATTAGATTTTATAAGGCCTGTGATCAGAGCACAAGGTCCATGGAAGATACGGTTGTACTTGATGATCTTAAAGGTCTCTTCCAACCTTAATGCTTCTGTGATTCTGTGATAAGGACTTTGAACTTGTCTTCGAGGTTACAAATTTTCAGAAAAATTTTAATTTGCTCATACAGCAATGTTGCTGAGGACAAAATGGCCTACCGATTTCAGTTCTGAGTGAATTTCTTTTGAGGATAGATAGCTTCATATCCAGATATATAGTCCAGACTGGTAGCAGTGGCATTTATAACAGTGGGCAGAGTTGCCAGGATGAGACAGATTCACCTATCCAATCACAGATGGTAGAAAATATTACTCACAGATGCTGCTGTATGAGAGCTTGGCTTCAGCAAGGAGTCAGGAGCACTCACAAAAAATGGATTTTGTTAGCTACCATGCATTTCTTCCAAGGCTGATTTACTGTATGCTACAAGGAAGATGAAAAGGGAAAAAATAAGAATCTTCCTCTGAAAGAAGAATGATACATTTGATTGCTAGGAGCCTCAGTTGCTCATGACTTTCTTTTGTCAAACAGAGAAATTGTTGGATTCACAAGATCTGAGTCAAGACTCCTTCAGTGCATCTGGTGTTTCCCAAGGAGTGAATGTACTGAATTAAAGGAGTGCTGGTGGGTGGGAGTGATGGCTGGGGAGAGGGAAAGCTGGGCTTCCTGAGGGTGGAGGGGGGAGATTGGCAAGCCTTTTGGAATTGCTACTGGTGGTATACCAACGGCATTTCTCAAAGAAAATCTATGGTAGGACAAACTGCTAATCAGTGTCAGAAGTGAAAAATAATTTAATCTCAGTGTCTTGTTTTGAAAAGCTAGTGTTTTGTTGAAGAGTTCTGCTTCAGAGCTGCATCACTGCAGTGGTTATACCAAGGGCAGAGCAGGGCGGTGATGGGGATGTGAGGCAGCTTCAGGAGCCCTGCTCTCATCCTGCCCACCCTGCACGCAGCACTGGTAGTGCTGTGTTTTACAGAGCTCATTACAGCAGTGCAGATTGCTTCCTCAGGTTATCCTATGGGTTTTCTTTCGCCAGCCTTCCTCCTGGCTGGCTGGCAGCAGTAAGGGATGAATAATACCTGCTGCCAGGGACAGCTGCTGTCATGCACCTCTCCCCTTCTGTCCAGAAAAGGGCCATTCCCAATTTAAGGCAGGAAAATAATGCTCCAAGGAAGAGCTCCACTCTTTGCTGGATTTCTGCTTTTATCTGATCAAACAGCTGCCTGCTCCACTCACAAAAAAAGGTTGCCAAACTTACATGTGAACTAAAATATGAATATTGACCTGCAGTAGTGCAAGGTCAGGTACAAATAAAAGACACATAAGAGCAAGGATGGGTGGTTGACAATGTGCTCCTGAATAGGAAGTGTTAATATGAGATTTATTTTCACCCTATTAGTGAGTAGATTATCAATGTTACTGCTTTTAATAGTATCCGTTCACTCTTTTGCTTCTGGCATTGCTGTACCAGTTTGATTAACACTGCCAGGTGTTGGTAAATATGCATCTAATGCAACCCCACTTTCAAAATCCATACAGTCTGTATAAATTTAGGATAGCATGGGCTAGTTGTCTCACATTTTAAGTGTCCTTGGTAAAATGTTCACTATTTTCGTAAGAAAGATAGGGTGTCATTACTGATGTTCTGGGTGTTTTTTACAAGGAATTGTTATGGCTCAGTAGAGCAGAGGGAAACATTTTTGGCAGATTCTTTTCACTAGCTTTAAGTTTCTCAAATGCATATTTTTAGCTGAAGTTAATTGTCTTCACACCCCCTTGGGGGGGAGGGTGGTGGTGCAGAAGGGAAGCACATATTTCAAACACTAATTTCTCTGATCCTAAATTATACTCAAGATAGGTGGGATGAATTCTCCTTTAAAAGCTTCTGTCTCTGCCCACTAGCTACTTAGAAGGGCTAGACACAGAATAGTTAAACAGTCAACGTCAATAAAATGAACCCCATCAATTAAAAAGAAAGACCAACTGAAATATGCCAGTAACACAAATTACCTAGTCATTTAAGAGGGAGAAACACAAATTTGGGATGATATGTCTGAATTTCATCTAAATCCAAATTCTCTTTGAACTTGACTCCCTATGGTTTTCTTTCCTGTATCTCCACTCATACTAGGAGCAGCACTAAGCGTGTTGCATGCAAGTCCTGTTTAAGAGACTAAAGAGAGATAAGTAAGAGATTAAAAAGTCCATAGGCTTTTTCTACAGTGAGTAATTGCAGTGGTTAACTGTCCTTTTCCAGCTTTGACTTCACTCTCCTGCTCCAGGCATGCCTGTGCTATCTCGGATGAGATGGATGTGCTGCTTTATTACTTGTGCAAAAAAGTGGAAAGCATCATTTTCTGATTCTTTATGATTATAGTAGCTACATGAATTTAAATAACTGGTTTCAGGGTATGAAAATAATGCATGAAGTTCTTTAAGTCATTCTGATTGCTACCTTTTGTTTCACACATAGTTAACTCCAAATGATTAATAAAATAAAATAACAGATAAACAGTGGTGCACAATATTTCATCAACTTCTTTCAAAATAAAGAATGTATCTCACTAAATAATATGAAAACCAAACTTTTTAAAGTTCCTCTTACATTATCTCAAATTGTATTTATTTTTATAATTTCCTTAATCTTGATAGGAGTTCAATGCAAATACAATTTATTCTAGGCAGAAATACCAGCCTCGCCTGTATTAAGATTAGCTGACACTTCTGGCTTTGTAATGCATTTTCAAAATCCCAACAAGTTCATCAAGTTGAACTGAAATAATCACCACCTTATTAAGGTGCTCAGGCTTAATATTTTTGAATATTTTATTTGGATTAAACCAACTGCTGCTGAGAACCAAAACTAGGAAAAAAATGTAATCTTGTCTATGTTAAAACAATTTGGCAATATCTTTTGGATATTGGATGCATGCTTATTAGTAATAAAAGTGTATATTAATTTGAAAAACATGAATGTAGCATAAGAGGACTGACATGAACTGAATTTAAGCCTGATATTTGAACATGCTTACAACTTTGCAACTGAAAAAAAGGTACTTGCAGTGTATTTTTGTCTGTTTTGCTATATGTATAATAGTAGAAATAATAAAGGGATTTTATGCAGCTATATAAGACTGTAATACGTGCTTTGGCTTGTTATTTTTATTAGCAACTCTTGTTTTCTTTTTCGAACCTAAAATCCATGCAAAATTAAAAATATGTCTTAAGTTGCATATGCATAAAAGCCTCTAAACTTTGTAATATAGAAAAAATACATAATCTCTTTCTGATCCCTGGGTAACAGAGGCAAATGTTAAGCACACACACAAAACCTTAAAAATGTACTTTTCTTTTAATACTTTGCAAGTGTGTTTTCCACATCTGAGAAGGTTATGTAAAAGTGAACACTGTAAATCTTAGTGAAAATTAAATTATTTCTCAACTCCAGCTACTCTGAGAGATGTAGTGAACACTTTTCCACATTTACATACATAAACACAACAGTGGCTCCCTAGAGTATTTTTTTTCATATTCCAGGAGTTAATATTAAACCTGGACTTCAATATTAATATTTAAGAGTCCTTGCCATTTCTTTTTAGAAATCAGAATGCACTTTAGATATTTCTAATAACCGTGAAATGAACTGAAGTAATTTCTGTCTTCTTGCTTTCATCTTTTGATATTTCTGAAAGTTTTCTTCATTGATTGTTAAAAAATCTTTTTAGTAGCAACCTGTGTTTTTCTCCCTATACAGGAATAAAGCTGTACAGGGATCTGTCTATGGCTCATGGCAATCTCCCCCCCTTTTTTTTCTTTTTTTTTTCTTGTCTCTCCAGATCATTAAAGACCAGAAGCTACTGGTGATAGTTGGAGGGATGCTACTGATTGATCTTTGCATCCTGATTTGCTGGCAGGTTGTGGATCCTTTGAGAAGGACAGTGGAAAAGTATAACATGGAGGTATGTCCTCAAGCCCACATAATACTTACGATTGCGTATCAGTATCTACAGCTCTCTATAAGACCAAGCTAATGATGCACTAGGTTATATGAAAGCAAGTCACGTTGTGTATTTGGGGGGAAGAAGGGTTCTGTTTTCTAAAAGCAAATAGAAATGAAATAACTGCAACCAAAAGAAATTGTATCTGTAGTTGAAGGTGCCATGTTTCTGTCACTTGTGAGAGATTTTAGATGAAAGTGTAGTAAACACAGGAGAGTCCTCTGCTAAGACTCTCTGTCAGAGTCTGTTGCAATAAATAATAGATTATCAGAACCCATTAGCAGATTTCAGTAAGAGCTCATTCAAGATAAGTGCAGGAGAGGTCACTGCTTAGACTGCATTCTTTGTGGAGATGTTCAGGAATTATGTTACCTACTGCTATATTTATTTTCAGTAACAGCGTGTGCATACACACATAGTGATTGTTCCTATTTTAATGTCATTCCCAGAAAGGTCATGCTAGAGATTTTGATAGGGAGGAGGTAACAGCTTAATGCCAACTGCACAAATTTTCCAACATTCTGGTAGGTTTCTACAATAGAGCTTTCTGGACAAACTGATAACAAGAAACGTGGCAGCAACAATACAGAACTAGGAAAAAAATCCCATTTGTATGCAGATTAGCAGTGCTTGAGAGTTTATTGCCTCCAACATGGAAACTGGTGATATCTGAAAGCTACATTATAGAAGTTTTATTCTGGTCTCCAATGCTTGGCAACCAGTAAGAAAAAGAATGGTAGTTTTCTGATGTTAATGTTTGCAAGAAAAGATGTGATATTTTATTCCATTGTTTTTACTTTGTAGTGTAGCTCTGGAATCTTATTAGGAGAAGATTTAATGTTTTATTATAATAGAATTTATAGAAGGTACCTTCGAACGATATCTCCTAAACCTCAAGAGATGCCTTTCAAGAAATCGTTTTAGAGTCTGAGAAGGTACCTCTCAGTCATTGTCTAGAGTTTGAACTTTTTTGAGAGAGAGATTCTCCAGTTACTATGGTTGTCAATAAAAAATGAAAAATGTAACTGAAATTTTTCTTCTGCAGGTACTTCCAATCTGTCTTTGTAGAGCTTGGAACAATAGCATCTTGTCAATAGCCTTGTTTACTTAATTTTCTTCCAACTGAATTGCAACTGATATTTCAATTGTCAGTGCTGTTAATTGTTTCACTGCTCATATAAAACCAAACACATGAATGAGTTAGAAAAACTTTTACTTTTTTCCCTGATCAGATGGTAGTCATAACTAAAGATCCTGATATCTTCTATTATCAGAATCACTCGAGTGAAATTTCTGTAGACAGCAGCAGTAACTGTGAAATTATCAAACCATAAATACTATATATTTGAAAAAATAATGCTTATTGCAGTTTTAAATGATTGCAATTTCTATCTGGAGTTATCAGTGTATATTCTTTGGTCATGTTATATATACCACTAAAGTATATAAAGAATATAAAGTATATACCAAGTCAGTGTGTTTGTTCCACATTTGGTGCTATGTAGACCACAGGGCTGCACACCAGTTGCCTGAACTTGGTATCAGAATTGGAATTCTGTGGGAACTCAGTGATCCCATGCAAACTCACTTTCACTGAATGCACACATAAGAATGTGTAATATTTTGAACACTCAGCATAGAACTGACTAAAACGTACTGTTAGAGCTCTTTGCTATTACTATAACTTGTGCAGACTGGTTTTTTAAGCTAAGGGATTTGGGGAAGGAATGAAATAAAAATATTATGCAAGCAAATTTAGTCATTAAAACACTGTAAATAAGTTTTTATCATATGTAGGCCATGGGGTGAACTGCCATTTGCTTTCCAGAAGCACACACCTTCAGGTCTCAGAAACTCCTTAGTAAAAGCAAATGACAATTGTATTTGTTTTTATTATTATTATTCTTATTTTAGTTTACTTTTTAAAATTTAGATTTTTTTAATTGCATGCTGCAATGATTAATTCTTTAGTTGTGTTTGAGATGGTATTATCTTTTGTGTTTTGAAAAGTGCTTACCACATAGTAAACACCACTGGAGGCAAGTTTCTGGTTTATTTCAGGAATATTGTGTCATGTATATTCCTTGTCCCACATGTTTCTATGAAATAAGTTTAAAGGGATATTTTCTCTCTAATAACGTTGATCCAAGTGATAGGGACTAAACTAAATGTAGGCTCCAAAGTTATGAATGCAATCAGTCATTCTAGATAATGAACTATTTGACAGCTGTTTTAACTACAAGTACTGATCGGCTTCCTATGTGAAAGTTCTGCATTTGGTCACTATAGGATGGTCCTCTATTAACTATGTCTTCATAAATATGTCAATCAAAGTAATCAAGGGGAGGACCCTAAAAACTGATAGTGTCCTTTGCTGTTTGGCATCATTCACAATATAGTTAATTTGAATACCAACAGCAGTGAATTATCAAGCACTTCTTAAAAATACAGACTCCTTTTCTGGAGTTGTTTGTAAAGTCAAACTATCCATGCCTTAAAAGCTGAGGATGGGCAGCCTATATCTAAAAATACAAAGGAAGGAGAAGGTGCTCATGGTGACCCTCTGCCGCTGACAGAAGGAAGAAATCAGATGGGATGTTGGATCTGTCAATTTTCAGACTGGTCTCTGTCTTCTTGACCCTAGATATATTCCTATGAAAAGCACATGTATGGCTGCCATAAGAGACCATGTTAAAAGTTCTAATGACCGAGCCATAAAGCATCCAGATCTTCCATGAGTAGGGCAGTTATTTGGTATTAGACATGTAGACAATAAAATTGTTGGATAAAAGCAAACAGGTTACAGATAAAGGCAAGGACCACATTAAAATTCCCATAGCTGTATGCTGATCTCCTGTAGAACTGTAAGGTTTCCCCTACATGCATTTTGTATAGAGTACTTTAGGTTTGATTCTCACATAACGCAAAAGCATTTTCTGACACAAAATGCTTCTCAACTTCAAGCAGCAGTGTAAAAAATGGGAATTAATCCGTAACATTACCTCTGTTCATCTGTTTTGCTTGTTGCACCAGCTGTAACGTTTCTCCTTTTTTCTAATGATACAGACCAGTGAAGAGAACAATCACTTTTTTTCTCAGTAGATTTTTCCTAGGCTGAACTCAGAATTTGCTCTTTTCATCGTAATTCACCTTTTTTGTCATAATCAAAATGCTCTACAGAGGTGATCTGATCTCAGCTAAGTTCCTGCTAGACTGTTTCTCCTGGTTACGTGAACTGGAGTGCATCCTCCCTCACCATCCCGCCAGACAGGTTCATTGGCTCAACAGGCCATGGGGAATTGCAGTGCTTCTGTGTGTGTGACTGTGGAGGAGCTTTGCCCCAGCAGCAAGGCTCTACTGCCTTTTTCCAACCATCTGGATTTTGTCCTGATTTCTTAAGAAGGCAATGTTTATGTGCAAGGGTGCTCTGTGTGTTTTTTCCTACTGCCTAAAAAACTTAGTTTGCCAGTTTCACTCAAACTAGAGACAGCAGATACAGATCTTCAGGTCATAGCACTGCTACAGATTTAATGGGAAGAGCCAGCTGTGTGGAGGAGAGGTTCTGGTAGTTCCCATCTCCCTAAGAAGAGGGTCACAGAGTGAGTTTGGTCCTCTGTCTAAAGACAAACAGTAAAATCCTTTTACAAGTGGAATCTCTTCTCCATGTGCAACAGCCATATCATAATTCAGTTATATACCTACTACAGTTCGGTAAGTCTGTGTGTAGACACATATTCAGACTCCCCTCTCCCTTGTAAGGCAATGATATAATAATTATTTCGGCTTGAAATCCTCTGACTGGCTGGTCTTCTTCCAAGACAAATATCTTTGACACAGATTGAATTACTGTGGCCTTGGAAGGTAATCAATAATAATGTTTAATAATTAAGAACTTATATACTAGGGGAAATCAACTAGATTTTATAGCTCCCAAGGTGTGTTAGACTCAAGAAGAGTAATAATTTGCATACTGGATGCCAATATTTCTTATAGAAGAATAAATAAACCCTGTTTATCCAGGGCAGCAGTCTTTGCATTCCGTGATGTCTTAGTGCTAGTTATGTAGTTTTCACTATGATTATTTCAGCTTATGCAACCATATGATAACATTATCAATATTTAAAAATAGACTTCATTCTGGTATCTGGAACACCAGTATCTAAGCTTTCACAATGAATTGTCCTGAGATGGTAATAAACATGAAATAGACAAAAAATAAAACAGAACAAAGTGCCATTTTAGAAGATACAGGAGGGAAAACCAGACCAGTGAGACAACATCCTATTTAGGCTTCTAGGACTGAAATAGGAATAAAATGTGGAAACTAAGAATGGCCAACTTTATATGAGGACATTGCTATAATAAGAACATCAATATGCAGGAAAGATTGAGGAAGCCATGCCAGTAGTTCAGTCTGTTAAAGAACACTTGGAGTAAAATCCAATTAACATATTAATCATTTCACTAAGGCAGAATTCCTATGCATTCCAAGTGTACCACTATGCTATTGGACACATATTATTAACGAATGAGCCAGAAAGTCAGCCTTGACTGGTATATTGAGGGAATCATAAACGTTTCAAGAGCACAAAATGCCTGTGTAAACTGGCCAAATGTGCTGCTCAGACTAAGTCATTTAGGAGCAGTGAGTGCTTTTTAATTCAACAGATTAGAGAACCAACAAAGACAGAATTAACCCTTGATTTAATTCTGAATAGCATACAGAATCTGTTCCAAAGTGTTGATATCTGAAGTACTTCCCTGTAGCTGAAAATACATCATTCTTAGCTTTGATAGCTTTGAAGAAGCAACATCAAAAAAGATCAGTAGATTGGTACTCAACTTCAGGCTGGGGAACAACATAAAACTGAAGAAGTTTCTTTAAAGAGATGCTAAAGAGGACACTGTAGAGTTAAATCTTTGCAGGTTACCTGGAGAGTATTAAGAATATCACATTGCAG